CCCCCCCCCCCCCCCCCCCCCCCACCGTGTTTTACCTCACCGCCTTGCGATGCTCCCTCCGTACACAGAAATCCCGTACCCTCTACCGAGAGCAACCGCAAGACGGGCGGACCCCGGCGGCTGGCTACGGGGCGATGGGCCACGCGGCGGAGTACTCGGGCGGCGGCAGCCAGCACCACCACGCCCCGGAGACGCAGAGGGCCGCGCAGCTCGCCCGCGCCGCCCGCACCGCCCAGTACCACGAGCAGGTGCAGCTGCTGCAGGCTCAGGCGGCCCGCGCGGCGGCTGCGGCGGCGGCTGCGGCGGCTGCGGCGCAAGGGCTGGCAGGGGGCCCGTGGGAAGCTCCCGAGGTGTGTATGAACCCTGTCACTAGTTAGTTAGGAGGAGGGTGGTGCAGAGCATTTGTTGTTGTTGTTGTTGTTGCTGTTGTTTTCTTCACATTGAAAACCGTTGCGATCGCTCTATTCAGCACCTTCAGGTGTCCGTACTGATACGGGCTGCAGCGAGAGCCCTGGGTCCTTTTACCACGACACGCGATGCACGGCAGAAAAAACACAGATATTATAGAACCTCGAAAGCTGACGGCATGTATTTTCTCAAAACCACAAAGAGTGGGGGTTAGGTTAGCTAGGCTTCGTGGAGAGGGAGCATGCGGGGCCAGTGGCTAAGTGACACACAAGACCACTTACCCCACCCACCCACCTCCTTTGCCCCACCCGCCGCCCGCGCGCCGGGTTGTTGCCCGTTTGTTGGGCCAAAAATGCAGCAAACGCGGGTGAGAACTTCGAAGTACCACGGTGTCTCCTTCTTCAAGGGACGGTTCACTGCACAGTTCACCTGGGGCGGGAAGCAGGTGCGGGGGGGTGAGGTGGGGGATTTTTTTTTCGTTTTTCGGGGTGGGCAGAACGTCTCAAAAATCGATTTCTTTGCATGCGCGTAGCACTTCGTCTGTGTCTCGGCGTGTGAAGTAGAATGATAGTGCAAGCGAGCGGGGGGGGTGCCGCAACGGCGCGACGCGTGCGTGCTGCGCAAGGACGCTACAATGCTTTTGTTTTTGCGGGACCTCGCCCTGTAGTTTTTGCGTGTTGGGGGAATGGAGGATACGGCCATGTCTTGCCGGTGGTGGCGACGCGCGATATTCAATCGTCACGAACCTATTGGTCGAAGGGAATCGGGACGGGCGTGTCCAGATAACATGAAACTTGGGGCGAGAAAAGGACCACTCGCGAGAGGACAACCGCCTGAAAACCTGCAGGGGTTTGCGAGTTGGAAGAGATCTCTCTGGAATTATCGTCATGTTCTCTCTTGGCTATTTATTGCGTGGTACCGGCGGGTTCGGCTCACTCGAGATTCTATTGTGTGTGTGGGCGTGGCAAATTGAAATGTTATTGAAGACTCCGCCATCACCAAAACCCTCACCAAAGAGGGGTGGACAGCAGTACATCAGGCCTCCGCGCTACTGCGGAACCCCCTGCTAGTGCTGAGCTGCTCGTGGTGGGGAAGCAGGGCGTACCAACAGGCATTCGGGAAATGTACAATCGCTCAGAAAAAGGGTCTCACGAATGACAAGCTACAGCTACACTACCAGCCACCTCGCGTGTTGTCTTACGCTCAGCTGTGTGTCTCGTGGCGTTGAGAGACGATCCGCTCTTGCTTTTGTTTCCTCTGGGGTTCCCTCGAGGGGAACAGAGACGCAAGACGACTGAGAATGGCACTCATTTTTATTTTGTTGTCCGGTTTGCACAGATGCGTTGTGCCGCAAAAATCGCCCAAAAGGCCAACAACTCTCATCAAAATCCGTCAGACTAATCGTTCAGACACCTCTTTTCCAGTCCTCCGTACCCGTGTTCATCTCGTTTCACGCTTACTGTTTTGTTTGCCGCACGCGGTGCGCTCGTGCGTGTCGTCGTCGTCGTTGTTGCTGCTGCTGCCGCCGCCGCCTCGAAACCGCCAGTATTACTTGGGCCGGTACGACACCGAGGGGGAGGCGCACACCGTGGTCCAACGAGCCACGAAAGAAGTCATGGTGCGTCCGCGTCTACTGCTGTAGCTCTTTGCTGAATGCCGGCTAGACCCGCCGCCGCCGCCGCCGCCGCCGCCGCCGCCGGGCGAAAGAGTGCTGTGGTGGCCCTGGCACCCTGCCGCAAGGCGTGCTTGTCATTCGCCGGGAACCGTGTTTCGTTCCTGGCGGCGTTGTTCTGAGGGGGTGCTGTGTGCGGGTAGAGTGTGTTGGGGGGGCGCGTGTGTAACTGCTTTCAGTGTCCCCTTTCACTCGTCCTTTTTTGTTGTTGCTTGAGCGCAACGGAACACGTGTTGGGCGCATGCGCGCGCGTTGGTTCGGGCTCTTTTCGAGCAACACGGTCGTGCGAAACCTCGGTATCAATCCGAGATCCGTCCCGCCCTGGGGGCGGGCAGGCAGCGCAAGCTCGTCAGCATGTCCTCCCCTCCCTCCGTGCGCTCCCTATCTCATGGAGGCACTCACGACAACATCAGTCCCTCCCCAAAAAACACAAGGTCAATGGTCAAACCGCTAAGGCATGCAAAACATAAGAGTACGCCCCCCCCAAAAAAAAAACAAAAAAAAAACACAAGGATAGTGACCAGCTCTGGCTCATCCTTGTAAAACGTAGCCTGGGCCGGCGAAAACCCGGCATATCGCTCCGTCCCGGCATTGTAAAGGGATGCGAGGTCACCAATGGCCCAACGACTACGGCATGCGTTTACATGAGTACCCCCCCTCCGTCCCCTCGAGGACGCGTGGTCAATGGTTTAACCGCTAAGGCATGCAAAACTTGAGGACGCCCCCCCCCCCCCCCTGTCCACACGCCAACGCCCGTCTGTCCCATGCCGCCCTACAAAAACACATGGTGGCGTATGATCATGTATTGTGGCGTATTCTTATATTATTCTAGGAAACGGGGAACCTGACGCTTCCGCGCAACCGCGGAAACGAGGTGGTCCGGCTTGGCGCTCCTCGCTACCCTGAGGGTTGGACCGGCCAACGATGAGTGGAGAAGGGAGACCAACGCCAATGCGATGGGCGGCGCCGGTGAGTATCGGCCTTTTTTTTTTTTTTTCTTGCGCGGGTGTGGCCTTTTTCTTGTTTGGTTTCTTGGGTTGCTTTTTGGGGGCTGGGGGGGGGGGGGGGAATGGATTCATGATTCGTCTTGATCTGCGGTAGGGCGCTGGGCCTTCTTGATGCGGCATGCGCCTCATCTCTACTTTGAGATGCGACGCACTGCCTTTGTTCCTGTTTTCTGCCTGTCACCCAGACAAAACCAAGCCCAACGACTGACAACCGTTTCTTCGTGTTTTTTTGTTTTGCTTATGGAACCTTTCGGGGAGAGGGTGTGTGTATGCACTCTGCCTAAATTTTGTGTTAGTTCTTCCTTGCTGGTCGGAAGCCTGCAACACCCCAAGGCCGTCCCGGTAGGGTTCCACACGAGTTTTGTCTGTACGTCTTTATCTCACGCCTCACCTGTTCATCACGATTACACTGGCCCTGACCCACCCTTCCCCGTACCGGTGGCTTCGTCGCGATGGTCTTAAGACTACGGCATCTGCATCATCACGAATGCCCTGTCCTCCCCCGACCCCCCCCCCCCCTAAGAGGTATACCAGCCGTAGGAGAGAGGAAGAGGAGGATAGACACACATGTCCATGTGGCAAATCGGAGGAGAGTAGACCCCACATAGTTGGGGAGTGTGAGTTGTACAAGAAGGAAAGAGAGGATCTCGAGGAGGAAATGAGACAGAGAGGATGTGACATGGACAAGTTTGGTAAATTAGACAACAGCGAAAAAACGATCGCGATAATTGGGGATAGATGGTGGGCACAAGAGGCCCTAGAGGACGGGGATAAGATGTGCAAGACATTTTTATGGAGTTTGTGGCAGAAACGTAAAGAGCTCCCAAATGTTGGTGGTGTCTCTAGTAGGGGTAGGAACGGTGCTCCGTCTCGAAAGGGACGCGTGGTCAATGGTCAAATGACTACGGCAAGCAACAAATGAGTACGCCCCCTTTGACATCAATTACAGGCATGTGGAACGTCCACGGGTCGGGAGGGGGGCAGGTCGCGGCTGCACGACAGCAGTACGCGCAGCACCAACAGCAGCAACAACAACAACAACAGCAGCAGCAGCAGCAGCAGCAGCAGCAGCAGCAGCAGCAGCAGCAGCAGCAGTACCAGACGCAGGCGCAGCAGGCGTACCGCCACCAGGCCACGGCGGCGGCAGCGGCGGCGGCAGCGGGGGGGGGGTACCCCCAGTCCGGCGCTAACTCCGCTTACCGACGAGACGGCAACCCCGGCATCAACGCCGCCAGCGCCGCCGCATCCGCCGCTGCAGCCGGCGCGCATGGTGGCGGCTACGCGCCCACGCAGCAGCAGCAGCAGCCGCAGCCGCAGCAGCTGGCGTACGGGGTGGCTAGTGCCCAGGCCGAGTACGAGCAGCATCAACGCCGCCTGCAGCAGCAGCAGCAGCAGCAACAACAGCAGCAGGCCTACGCCGCAGGGCCTTCTCCTAGTGTGGCCAGCGCACAGCACCGATATCTCGCCCAGCAGCAACAGCAGCAGCAGCAGCAGCAACAGCAACAACAACAGATGCAAAAGCAACAAATGCTGCAAAAGCAGCAGCAGCAGGCGCAGCAGCAGCAGTACCAGCAGCGACAGCAGTATGCAGTACCCGGGCAGGGCGCGAACGCGATGGAAATGGGAGGGGGAGGGGGAGGGTACGCCATGTCCCGACACCAATCCCACCTGTCGGCCTCCCAAGCCCAAGCCCAGGCGCAAGCCCAGGCGCAAGCCCAAGCGCAAGCCCAGGCGCAAGCCCAGGCGCAAGCTGCGAGGCAGCAGCAGCAACAACAACAGCAGCAGTACTCTCACCTACAGGGCGGTGTTGGCGGCGGATACCCGTCTGCAGAACCGCCACAGCGGCAGATGCAGTCGGCGCTGTACGGAGCAGGTGGGGGAGGGGGTGGGGGCGGAGCGCACGCGGGTATGGACGCACTCGCGGCGGCGTTTGGGAGCGGCCAGCAACAGCAGCAGGACGCAGACGGGGCCGCTTCAGCGCCGGGCGGCGGCGGCGCCGGGGGGATGGGAGCCGTGCTTCTCGAACGGATGACACGGGAAGGCGGCGATGGCGGAGAGCGGTGGGGGCGGTAAACCCGTCTTTGGTAGGTAGCTTTTAGGGTTGGGTTGTGCATGAGGATCGTTTTTGGCCGTTGTGTTGGCGCCGGGGTTGTGCTCTGCTTTTGTTATGCGGACGGGGGTGGAGGATAAAGGGGTGAAGCAGGGAGGCAGAGGGATCAAGTCGCTGATCGACAAAAAACTCTTCATCTGGAAGCGGCGGTGAGATTTAATACGCCGCCTTGTAGAAATATGTAGTATAAAAACAAGCGATGGTTGTGGTGATGCATCAGATCTGTCGCGTGAATTGAGCATCTGACTGCTATTATTATGGCCAGGTTTTCGCCGAGTGGCCGGGTCGCGCGCAGCCTGATTGTGCCATCTTGTTGACGTGCCATCAGGTGAACAACATACAACGTTTCTGGGCTGACAGCGTTCGTAGCAGTGACAGAAGGGGAAGGGGGGGTTCGTTTGGTAGTATCGGGAGGTTGGCTGTTCTGCAGCTCTTGACCAGATGTTAAAAGAAAACTTGGGTAGAATACTTTAGTGTTGTTTTCAGGCGGGTAGACAAGTCCTTGGAAGGATCATATGTTAATTCGAATGGGCATCCAAAATCATCAACTCGGGCATGCCCGGTATGGTGCGTTGTCGTCGTCATTCATTTTCGAAGCGGGGAAACAGTAGGCTGTAGTTTTTCTCAACGCGCGCGGGATGGGCACGGGGGCGGGGCGGGGGGGGGAGGGGGGGGAGATTGGCGTTCGTTACTCTGCCTGTCGGGTTATTAGTCTAGTTTACTTGTCAACATCACTCAGCGTTGCCTGGTCGGATGAGTTGCTTCGCCTGCTTGGAGAAGGAGACTTGAGACTTCCAGGAGTTGCCTCAGCACATGAAGTATAAATTTCATCCCCTTGGGTGTAAGTTTCTCGTGTTTTTTTGGCCAACACATCCCGTTCGACTGTGGTTATATCTCGAATGGATAGTCTCTCTGTGTTTTGTATTTCCCCCCCCAACTTTTTGGCGGCAGTGTGAGTGGCATTGTGCCGGTGGTGTCGCGGGCAAGCAACCACGCCCGCTTCGATTGTTCTCGACCCCGCCCCGCGAGCTCTCCCGCAGCTGCTGCCACCGATATCTTCCGCGTGGATTGATGTCCTCTTTGGTGGTACGCGCAAGGCGCAAGCTGTACCATGTACGCAGTATTCGTTTCGCCGCTGCCATGCT